TTATCCCTGTGTTTTCTGTGTTTCTGTTAATTGCTAATCCTCCTATGCCTCCTGCACTCAACGCCATTCTGCCTTCTCTTCCAGTTCTCTGTTTTCTTTCCCCTCCTGGGCTAACAGACGAACTGTCTTCTCCCAAGTCTTCTATGTCACTTTCTCTCTTTTCCTTCATTTAAATACTTCACCCATGGTACTCACCACCGTCTTGACTTCAAATGGCTTGCGCAGCACAGGTTGCTGGGTCCATGACCTCTGTCAGGATTTGGCGACAGGAAAATATGCAGAGTTAATTGAAGACACTTACACGTTCTTCTTCTTTAGCAAGACGGGTGTATTTACAATATTTACAAGTATATAATTTACAATATTTACAAGTATATACAGGCTGGCATCACTTCAGCATGGCAGGAACTCATTAAACAAACCGGCATAGAGGATAGCAGCAAGTGATAGTTTCAGGCCTATAAAAATTACAATATCCTGACAATCAAGCATCATTCTTCTATTTTATCTTACAGGTTACATTCACTCCTCAGACTAATCACACCTCAGATCGCCCAACTAACTCTGACTCAGACTGTAAACTAAACTTCTCCTCTGTGGGTATGCCTTTTTAACATCTCTAGAAGCATCATTCTTCTATTTTATCTTACAGGTTACATTCACTCGTCAGACTAATCACACCTCAGATCGCCCAACTAACTCTGACTCAGACTGTAAACTAAACTTCTCCTCTGTGGGTATGCCTTTTTAACATCTCTAGTGGCCCTACCTCTCAACCACATCAGCATAAAATATGAATAATGCATGACTTATTTAACATAATAAGGGTGAACACCACAACCAGGTAAGAAAAGATAGTTATGCTTGGGCTTATGCTACAAATGGGACGTGGTGGCGCTGTGGGCTAAACTGCAGAAGCCTGTGCTGCAGGGTCAGAAGACCAAGCAGTCGTAAGATCAAATCCACGCGACGGAGGGAGCGCCCGTCGCCTGTCCCAGCTCCCGCCAGCCTAGCGGCTCGAAAGCATGCAAATGCGAGTAGATAAATAGGGACCACCTCGGTGGGAAGGTAAACAGTGTTCCGTGTCTAAATCACACTGGCCATGTGACCACGGAAAGATTGTCTTCGGACAAAACACTGGCTCTATGGCTTGAAGAGCGGGATGAGCGCCGCCCCCTAGAGTCGGACACGACTGGACAAAAATTGTCAAGGGGAACCTTTATGCTACAAATAGAATTGGATTCAATATCACATTTCATCCAGTCTCAATTTCTTTGTCTTGCTGTGCTTTACCATGTATGAACGCTGCCATTACTGAAGCCTTTATCTGCAGGTCTGTAAATCAAATGCTGTGCTGAAGTGTGAATCAAGAAGCAGCCTGAAGATGTCCTCTTCTTTTAGGGCTGAGTCCAGAGGTTTCCAGATTCCACTGTACAAAGAAATTTATGTGGATCTGAAGAGATGTGTCTGATGACATGGTGCTGAATCTTCTCATTTCCACTGCGGTAAGTAGAGGGAATGGATGCTATGAGGATCATTCCACTAAATTAAGGATTATTCTATTTTGACATTTTTGCATTTATACCATATAATGTTAGAGGCCAAGAGGGAGTTTTTCTACACAAGATGAGTCTCTGTCAAATGGTTTGGTTCATATAAACTGTTTAAACCTAATTTAATCTTAAACTAGGTCAGGACTTGCCCTCTTATGAGAAACATTCAGTTACTTGTCCCAAGGAGCAGGCTGGGTTCACATGCTCTCCCGCACCCACTCATACACATACCACTTAGCCTGTGAAACCTCTGGTCATGGCAATAGGCTAAGTGTCTCCTACTTACAGTTCACGCCCCATGTCATGGCATAGAGCTCTCACCTCCTGTCCAAACTCCCATTGTACAACTCTTGCAGCCATTATTAAGGCAGATTCTCTTACCTTGGGTAGAGAGGAGTATGCTAGCTTTGTTGCTCTCTTACACTTGGTGGGCAAAGAGACTGAAGAGGAGAGTCCTTGCTATAAAAGGATGCTCTCCATGTAAGTCAGGATACTGATTTTTCCAGTGTCAACTTCCTTGGTCATTTAACAAAATTGTTACAGAGTGGTTGGCTGAGTAAAAATGAAATCGTGGATTGTTTTATGGAACAATAAGCAATGTTCAGTGGGGTCTTGACTTGAGAACTTAATCCGTATTGGAAGGCGGTTCTCAAGTCAAAAAGTTCTCAAGTCAAATCTGCATTTCCCATAGGAATGCATGGAAAACCATTTGATCTGTATCTGCTCTTTTCCGTCCATAGAAACTAATGGGAAGCTGCTATTCCGCCTTCGACCACTAGAGGGGGATATTTTGTTTCTTTTTTTCTTAGGTCAAGAAAGGTTCAGGGAAGGCAGGGAAAATACAGTCCAGGCAGTACAGTACCAGGCAGTCATTAAGGCAGATTCTCTTACCTTGGGTAGAGAGGAGTATGCTAGCTTTGTTGCTCTCTTACACTTGGTGGGCAAAGAGACTGAAGAGGAGAGTCCTTGCTATAAAAGGATGCTCTCCATGTAAGTCAGGATACTGATTTTTCCAGTGTCAACTTCCTTGCTCATTTAACAAAATTGTTAAAGAGTGGTTGGCTGAGTAAAAATGAAATCATGGATTGTTTTATAGAACAATAAGCAATGTACAGGATATGTTCACTGGTTCAGTCTCCTGGCAAGGGAGAAGAAAGTGCTTAAATTCTAAATAGAGAGATGGAAAGTATGTAATCTGTGTGGAACGTCTGCCAGAATATGGTAAAACCTGCTTCTTAATTCTATGGGTGTGGCTGCAATTGTTCAGCAAAGAAACGTGCTTGTTTTCTGAGGCTCACTTTATTTTTACAACATATACAGTGGTGCCTCGCATAGCGATGTTAATCGGTGCAGCAGAAAATGCCGCTAAGTGAAAACATGGCTATGCAATTTTTAAAACCCCATTGAAACGCATTGAAACCCCTTCAATGTGTTCCAATGGGGTAAAAACTTACCTTTAAGCGAAAATCCTCCGTACGGCAGCCATTTTTGCTGCCTGGTAAGCGAGGAATCCGTCCCAAAAAAGAGCGGGTAGCCATTTTTTTTCCCGGCGGCCATTTTGGAACCGCCGATCAGCTGTTGG